CTAAGCTGTGCTTCCCCAAGTATCCCCTTTCCCACAGTTTGTTCTGTTTCCATTCTTTATACATACTCTCAGTATCTATGATTACAACCCTTCTCTGACAATGCACCTATACTTCAGAAAAGCATATGGTCCTTTCACTTTATTCCTTTTGTACCTGGCCTCTCATCCATTTAGAAATCGCTTCAATACAGAAGGAGGGTACATTTGTATGTTCGATTTCATTACTACATTTTTTTCCTCAAAGGACTTGAATAATGTCCCATTTACCTTTGAAGTCATGTATGCCACTGTAATAGACTCTCACTAGGCATTTTGACCTTTGATAATTTCCTGACTGAGCAGTTAGATTGCAATGTGACCATAAGGAAGTCACCTCAAACCCTAGACCTTATATAATCATGTGTGCAGAGTTGAAAATGTTCCTATAATATTAAAACCGCAGTCTGAGAATCTATCATAACTCTGCCAAAAAACTTTGGCCCAAAAATTGCGTTCTGACCCCATAAAACTAGTTTGCCCTATGATGTACTATTCTGCTCAGTGTCTCCTCAATTCTATGCCCCTGCTACCCACTGAGTTTGAGAATCAGGGTAAGTTCATTGCACCTTCAGACTGTGGTCTGATGATGCATGCTTGTGTAGAGTTCATGATTAGTTTCATCTGGACCCATGATCCAACAGCTGGGACCATCTGCTTACACTTAGCATACAGCCAGACTTTCCACAGTCAGGAGTCAGTGTGCTCCTGACCTAGCCTGGCTGTCCACTCTGGACTTCACAAGTCAGGGACTCATGGCCTGGATTCACATGTCAGGAAAAATAATCCAAACATGAAATGTTTGAGGTAAGAAACAGCATTCTGGTATCTCCTAATGTAGATAAGTTGCCTCTAGAAACAGGAGAGTCAGACAAAAAGGAATATAGTGAAACTGCATGATTAATAAATACTGTGAAGCATGAGTTTTCCCAGAAGAAAGCTAACTCTTTGGGAATATTAACCTACACAAAAAGATACAACTGTTATATATAGCTCTAGGTTGGGACTTACAAATTTATTAAGGGAAAGAACTCCCAACCTGCACAGTATCACCCCATAGATGAGTGGATTTTTCTACCATTGCAATGGACAGCATGCCTGTGGGAAGGATCTTAGAATTATTTTTCCCAAGCTCTTCCTCCATTCACTCTGAACATCTTTGTCCCAGTTTTACTGCTCTGAGCAACGATAACCTAATCCCCAAAGGATACTACTTGAGACCACATAAGATGTTCCATGGAAGCGTATGTCTAATGTGAATCATTACCCAGATGTCAAGAGCTATTGTTACTACCTAGAGACTATCTCAAGATCATACATGTAGAAGTGATTATGCTTTATTCTACCAGACAGAGGAGAAATTATTCTACTCTGAAGTATAACTATCTACATTCTCCATCAGCATTGAATATCCATGGATAGATGCTCATAGCTTGAAAGAAGAGTCAGTGAGAATGAGAGTGGTTGGTGGCCACAAAATCTTGTTAAGCTCTTCTTTCCAGCAATGCAATGGACCCCTGGTCTGCTTTCTTTCCCCTGGAATCAGGGAACAAACGTGCTTCCTCTTTCACAAGAAGCACTTGCAAGTTTCATTTGAAAATGGGAGAGAGAGAGAGAGAGAGAGAGAGAGAGAGAGAGAGAGAGAGAGAGAGAGAACACAGAGACGTTGATGGCAAATTGTTCTTTGCCCATGCCCTGTGTTTTGGTCCTTTATTTGTGCCCTTGAAAACTCTGAGTAAACTCTGTCACACTTAGTATAAGTGATGAGATGGCAAGTCAGGGAAGATTAAGTCAGACTGCATGTGACCATCCAAAGCTGACCAAGAGAAGTACAGTGGACTGTTTCATTCCACTGGGTCATATTGTCTGTAGTGATTAGCATTCACAGCTACTGATATAGCCCTAATCTCATACCCATTTTGGAAAATACTCAGATGAGTTCATTTACAGTCTGACTGAATAATCGTATATTATCTTCTTTATGCATTTAGTGGACATATTCTACATCATGGTATCTGTATCCAGCACAAAGGAGCCAAAACCAAAGAGATCCCTTTAAGAATAAGAAGCAATGTCAAGTACTGGCCATGTTTCCAGAGTCGCTCATGTCTAATTAAAGCTTACACATAGCTTGAAAGTGTAATTGAAGCAGTTTTGGTTGTTGATGGTGGTTCTTTTTCCTTTCCTTTTAAGAGCATCTATAAGTTTTCATATTAAGATCTTTTACTTACTACATAAAAGGTCCACAAGAAGGCTGTCCACCCTTTTAGGATCAACACACAAATAGTTAAATGGCTTCTTGACCCACCATCACCTATAACCATTTATTTTGTAGTTCTCTCTTCTAACATAACCACTGGAAAAATTGTCATGAAATTATTTTCTCAAAAGAACTCCATGCAATTTCTAATATCTTAGCCAGGCATTTTAAATTTAAAATATGTTCATGGTTGCTCCACACCAAATTCAAGTTTGCTATAGTGATCCTTGGGGTTCTTGTAACATTTCCACAAATATTTATGTATCTCACTTCTGGTCCTTTCCTTCAAAATACCTATCTTTCTTCCTAGACAAATATTTACTCTTGGTCCAGTTGTGGCAATGTTCTGTGACTTCTTAAATGGTTGTTTCTCTTCCGTCCCTCTGCTTCTCTATGAATACTTACAGCTTCATGATGAGAATGTCCAATCTATCTTTTCTAACTCTGAAGTCACCCATCCCAATGTTTCAAAGAATCTTTCCTATGTATGTCAACCTGAACTGGATTGGGGCCCTCAAATCCAAAAGCACCCAACCCTTACAATGCCCTAAACTTACCTAGCTTCTTCTTTTAGTCCCTATTTCTTTTTCTAGAATTTGAGTTTCTTGGGAAAAGAGACTGTGGTTTGTTGACCTTTGTGTCAATGTGCTCAGACCTCATAAATGAAGGAATAAAAGCATACACAGATTCAGGAACAGCTTCTCAGACTGTAAGCCCTTGAAGGCAAGTCATCCCAGAGACTCAACCCCTCATCCTTACTCTCTGCAGTAGCTTGGCCTTTGACATTAAGGGCACAAAACCTTTGGGATGAGTCTGTGAATTGACACAGTCAGTTTTGAATAGTTTACCTCCCTTAATTATTTTAAAGGTCAACCCTGCCTTCTGAGGCCAGCAACATGGCTCAATGGGAAAGGTTTTTGCCACTACACCTGATAACCTGAGTTCAATCCCTGCAACCCTCATGGTAGAAAGAGACAACCATAGGACCCACACACTCAAAGTAAATAAATGCAGTTTTTAAAGCAGCCCTACCTTTCCTTTTTTATTCAGTCTAACCATTCCAAAAGTGCAACAGGACAAAGAGGTACATCCTTACTTACATTACAGCAACTCATCTTAACCAGGTTCAGAATTCCAATCCACATAGAGTAGCATAAACAATAGTCTTTTATGGAGACAAAATGCATTTCCCCCACCTCTGTGATAACTTCACTCCAGCACCCAGTCTTTCCCTAAATTCTTATTGGCTGTTGATGATCGTATCAGTTTCCCCCACTCTTTAGTAGCATCCTGTCTTTCACCAAGATGAAAAAGACATCTATGAAATTTGAAAATCAGACGATTCCTAACCAGCTGTAACTGATTCTGGTGCAGACAACAGAGGCTCATGTCTAAAACACAGATGAACTTTCCCCTGACTAGGTCCTTTTTTTCATAAGCACTACCTCCATGACTCTCCAATGGCATCAAAACATTAACATGAAACCTCAAGACCCTCAGATCCTCCATGTTTATACAACCCAGAGCATTGTTTTCTGTCTCTTGTCTGGGAATGATTTGATTCCTCCCCATCTCAAGCCACACGCAAACACACTCAAGATAGTGGTGGCATGTTTCAAACCACCTCATGAAGACAATCATGCTTTCTTGAACTAAAAGAAATTTTAGTTTCAGACTTGTCTTCCATGTAGAACATAAAGCTGGGGGTTGCTTCACTTGCTTCTGCTCAGAGAATTCCTCCATAAAAACCATCTTATCTAAACAAGCCTTTTAATCTTGCCTAGTTTCTATTACATCACTCACTAGGCATGCACAAAAGTAGGAACTTTGCTGGAAGGGTTTATTATCATATCTAACCAGCCTAGATAGAGCATAGCACATAGATAGATAGATAGATAGACAGACAGACAGACAGACAGACAGACAGACAGATAGATAGATAGATAGATATGCTGGTACATAGGTAACTTATTAGCTAGATGGGTGGATTGACAGATAATAGAAAAAGTGACTCTCCCACCATCACACAGAGTTGTCACCTAGAAAGTCTTCATTCCTCTCTTCCTAGAAATTCTCCACACAGGTTTTCTCTTCCCATCATGTCTGAAGATATCCACTCCCCACATTAGACTCTTAGTGATCAGCACTTGGTTTCCTTCCTAACAAAGCTATTTTATTGTTGTTTTCCCCCACTAGGTTGTAAGAAAGTAATGCAGGAAACTGTATATTTTGTCTAGTTTTGGAGGGACCTCAAGAACCTAAAATCATGTCTGACATGTAATTACAAATAGTAATCTGTTGAATTAATATACATATATGAACTCTTCCACTGAGTTTCTAAAAAGATGTTTTAAAGAAGTCTTTTTAGAGAATTGGAGCTGGCACCTAAGAAAAGTGAATGTCTCAGATGTCTGGCTGGATTCAGGCTATTATGTGCTTTACTGAATGCTACCTGCCACAGAGAGACAAAGCTCCAATTAACATTGTTCACTGCACTGGTAACTGCTGACATTTATCTATTTAGTCTGAATAACTTTTCAAAAACGAGATTTAAATACGGCATTAAAAACAGAACCATCTAATTCTTGCAGAAAATTCCAAAGTTTAAATTCACTCCTGTATTCCAAATGGACATTACAGGGAGTCGACTAGCACTCATCTACCTCCTCCAAGTATCAAACTGGACAAGAAAGAAAAAACATACCAGAAGCAGAAGCTCCAAAATCTTGCCCTTGGAGTAGATTCTGAATGGTTCCTGCTCCTGGCTACTAAGTCATTGATTCTGCCTCAATTTTCTGTGGCTCTCCACCACCTCAAGCCAGCCGCTTTGCTTTCCTGACTCAATGGCTCTGACATCTGGCGCAGCAGACACATGTGCTGCCTAAGAAATAAAAGAGACTGCCCTGCCTCTAGGAAAGACCTTTGCCTTCTGATGTCACAAAGAGGGAAGATCTTAGAGCAAATGTCTGGAATGCCTTTCTGGTTGCTACACTGAGCACCGGACGGCTTCAGTCATTCCACCATTAGACCAGCTCTCAGAACTTTACAAGTTAGTTGTAAAACGTGGTTTCGTATATGAAACATAGCCCATTATCCTCAGATCTCTACTTCCCTTGGATGGAATGGATTCTCAGACCTAATGGGAGGTAAAGTGGGGAGATGGAAGAGTGTGATCCACTCAGCACTGTAAAACTAATAAAAGAGGAAAAGGAAATCAAAGCCAGCCATTTGTGCTTTTTCTGTTTGCAGACAAAGCATGACTTCATTTACAAGGTTGATGAGTCCCTGTGTGCTCTGACTCAATCACATCCCTTGAGTCATGCCTCAGTTCTCCCTGTGCCTCAGTCTCACCTCTGATAGGTGTGAGATCTCAACTTCCAAACAACATTCTTTTGTTCCAAGACCTAGAAAAGAAATGCTAAAGAAAATGCTATGATTTTTAAGACTAGTGTTTAAAGCAAGCAACTGAGAAATAAGAGTTCATTTTTTTCTGAATCTAAAAGCAGCCACCTAACTTCTCCAACACACAAGTTTGATTTCTATCTAGTCTGAATGTTGTGTCATTCAATACTCATAAAAATTCTGTTGTCAAGTAGAGAATCACAAGGGTCCACACATTCCTCTATATCTCAAAATATACTTTCCCCTCATTAGTTCTGTACAAATTCAAGATGTTCATGAACTCAGAGGTATTTTAATATAGCCAAGTGGGGGAGGAAGGGCTTGGGGGTTGGTTGAGAAGCTGGAGAGGCTAAGATATGCATTTGAAGACCGCATCTGAGCATCTCACTGGAGGCTTGGGAGTTGTCTGAGAAGTGTTTGATATAACATGTTTACTGTAATGTGTGTGTGCATGCTGTTTGTTCACGCATGTGTGTATGTCTGTGTGTTCATGTGAGCGTGAGTGCATGCACACACACAAGCATATGTCTGTGCTTGTATTAATTTGTGTGTGTTCTTTCCTTTGGAAAGCAACTGATTTAAATTCTGAAGAACAGTGAGACTGTTCTGTAATTGCATTTGCCACAGAAGCTGCTTAACCAGCTGGTTACCTTTCTGTTCTCAGATTCTGTGATTTCTCACACACCCTCTCCTGATAACTGTACACCAGGTCTTCAAGTCACTCCAGTCCTTTTCCAGGCTCTGCTATATTCTCCCTGTTGAGTACCCTTCTATGTGCAAGCTTCAGGGCAGCACAGCAGACAGAGGCCCACTAAGGATAGCCAGGCATCTGCCATCTCCATGTTTCAATGTCCTGATCTGTAAATGTAGGGCTTACAATCCTGGGTCAAGCCTGATCCCATGATGAATCCTGGAACCCAGAAAATATGATAGAACTTCATAACCTTCACATTGTTTTATATTCACAAAGAATTATATTAGCAACAGTAGAAAAGAAGTAGGGTGGGCTATTTCATGGAGCTTAGGATTTCACCAGACAGTGTTACTTCATATAAACAGAAACTACTTCTTCCAGAGGTCCCATGTTCACATTCAGCTCACGGAACCACAAGGCATCTCACAACCACCTGCAACCCCATTTCCAAAGGATTCAACTAAGAGAAATTAGGATTGGCCATTCCTTATCAGTGGGTTTCTTATCTTAGAATTTAATCAGTCATGTCAAAAATATTTTTAAAATAAACTTGTATGGCTGCAGATCTAGCTTAGTTGACAGAGAGTGTATATATGTTTTTTAAACACATAGAGAACACAGTAGGTCAAAACTACAGGCATGGGAGACTCACATGCCAAGATGGGTCATTCATGTAGCTCAGGAGTCCTTGCTGGCTGTTCCTCCCAGCGCTACCTGAGTGTCTTCATGGCATGTTAGCTCCTGAACACCCACACAGAATTATCTGAGAAACCAAGGTGGAAACAGCAGTGTCTTCTATGAACTCTCCTCAGGTACTAGTTACTGTCACTCTTCCCTTTCCAGTGACCCGTATAACAGTCTGTTGTAGCATTGTGGAGACTGCACAAAGGGGAGTAGACACAGGGAAGGGTCATCTTTCAGACTGATTCTCACATTGTGACACAACTAATGTGTTTGAGAGATTCTGATTTAATCTACAGTCACAGTCCTACCAAGACGGGATCAGAGGAGGGAGGAGAGACAATCAGGATCAGACCAGATGGTTCAACATTGCCAAGGTTAGAGAGTGTTCATAATTTCTAGTACTGGGAAAACTGTAAATACCACCTTTGTGCCAATGATAGTAATACCCCCAAGTTGTCAATTTCTAGAAGAAATCCAAATTTCCCTCTCTTCCAGAACAAAACTTTACACATCCCAGCCTCCAAGGAATCTGTTGCTACTGAAGGCTGTTTCCAGGAACCCAGACACCCTGCTTGGACTGAGGCTAGACAATATGGCCAATTATAAAGACAAACTGTGAAGCTGATAGTAGAGATCTTCTACTCCAGAGTGTACAGTCACTATTCAGTTGATAGATGTATCATAAGCACTATGAAATAGCCCATGCTATTTTTAGCTACTCCTACTAATATAATTTTTGTGAATACATAATGATATACCATTTATAAAGTCTCTACTATAAAACAACTATGAAGCCCTATCCTATGGGCTCCTGGATCCATCAGGGAACTATGCCTCCTCCAGGATTGTGAACCCTAAATATCTATGACATTGTTAGCATTTTCTGTGTATATTTTGATTTAAGTTGTTTTTATTTCTTTAATGACTCATTGATTCTACATCAATATTTTACATAGAATTCAGATCTGGATTCTTTTTTCAAAGTTTGGCCACAGTTCTAAGACTGTCAGGCTTGCTTTACTAAAAGTGACCATTCACTGGAGTTATTTGATTCATATGTGATGTCCCATTCACCCTAGTCACTGCCTCATCTCTGCCTTATTACATCCTCTACTGACTCTCAACCATTCAAATGAATGAATACCCTTGACTTAATCCAGGTGACACATTTTCAAGAGAGCCAAGTAAAATCCTGGTAGCTAGTGGACTTATCTATTAAATATTTTCTCCATAACCACATGACTGGTCAATGGTAAGATAGCCATCATTGTAAGATTGTGTCTCATCTAAACTGGCCCCCATCCCAGAATACTTCACTCCTTTACTGATTAATAGGCTTCAGTATAACAATTCTAGGCATATCAGTGACTGGGACTCTCTTCTCATAAGTGTACTATTAGACTAAAGAGCTATAGCATCCCTGCAGTAGATAAAGGGATATGCAGAAAAGTAACTGTGTTGGAATTCTGACATATAACCCCAATAGAAAAACTAATTAAGAAGTGTACACATGTATTCTAAAGGAAAATTGTCTAAAGTGGAGTAGGCAGAGAAAACGCAAGTAGGAAAGAGTTACAAGTCCAGAGAAGACAGGTAACAATCTCCAAACACCATAGAAATCCATCTGTGCAGTACCGCCTCATTTTTGTATTATTTCTACAAATGATTAACTTTAAATAATACCAAAGAAGTTTCTAATATCTGCATATCTTGACTTTTATGAAGTCACCATGTCGGCCTATACATAAAAGGCAAGTGTGCACAGAAAAATGGTGATGGAAATGAAAGGAAAGAAATTCTGGAACACCAAAAGCTACAGAGTGACTCTAGTGGTCACTAACTAGAATGTGGATTCCTCAGCACAAACTGGCTGAGGCCAGAGTCACAGCCTTTGTCCAAGTGCACTCAAACAGGACTGCTTCAGAAAGGAAAGAGGCACATTGGCCTCAAAAAAGCTTCTGAACTCAGATGACCTTTCCTGCTACCAGTCTGAGAGTTAGATGGGCCAATAATTACCAATGAGCCATAAACATTTCAGGCCCAGAGAGGGCAAGTACCACACCACAGCTGCACTATGTGGTGATGAAGAACCATGGACATTCTGGCTCCCTTCCTCTGAACCACATCAACTCCATATCAATCTCCCATCACCCACTCTTTCATCCTTGAAAGAAGCTCAGAATGTTGCTGATGTTAATACTGAGCCCAGTGAATCCCCTGCTGTCATGCTATAACTGGAGCAATGTGTTTCTTCCACACCACATAAAAGGCAGAGTACCCAATGAATTAAAACAAGAAACAGACTGAATGGCAAATCACATACCCTTCTATTTGCTCAGTCTCCTACTATTTGCTGATGTCTACAATGTGCTAGGTGTGGCAACTGAGAACTAAATGAGTGAGCCATACGTTCCTCTTTAGAAAACATTAGTCATGCAGGAAAAACTAATCAAAAGTAATTAGAAATGGGACAAATATTATCATATGGGAGCTAGGTTGGGAAAAGACAGTTCACAAAGTGATAAATAGAGTAAGGAGTGACATTAGGGGATATGGCAGAAGGAGAATGGCTATTTTGGAGGAAGAAGGGAATTATCATGAGTGAGAAGAGGTAGAGAAAGAGCAATGGAGATGAATTATCAAAGTAAATTATACAAGTTTATGAAAATCTCATAACAAACCTATTACACTACACAATTGATATATGAATATACATTTAAAGGCGGGGCTGAGCAAGATCAAAATATTAAATACAAGCAGCCTGAGAGATGAGCACATATCAGAAGGAGAAATATCTGGTTTTAAAGCCTGGTGCGCTAAGGGAATTAAAAGCAGCTTCCTAAAAATGGAAGACACAGTTGAGTAATTAAAGGCCAGATTGTACATTCTCACTTGCCCTAAGTTAAACAGGAAGCAAGGAAATTTCATAAAGTGGAGATGACATTCATAATGAAGGGAATATCACCAAGCCTGCCAGGTAGGAAACAGGGTGAAATCCATGCATTGTGGCTTTGCCCAAACTCATTACAGTAGTGGATGGAAAATATGAGAAAATTCAAATCTCCTGGCTGGCTTCTAACCTGGGGTTATCATCTCTGAGAGAGAAAGGAC